TGTCAGGACTTCTCCAGACTACTGAAAAGCAAGTGTCAGTCTGGAGACTAAGGTGTACCTGATCCAGGCCATGGTCCAGAGTTGGACAGTGACTAAGGATGACAGAAGAAGAATTGATGCCTTTGAGTTATGGTGCTGGAGAAGAGTTTTGAACATACGTGCATCACCAAGAAAACAAATAAGTCTATCTTTGAGAGGGTGAAATCAAGTTTCTCATAGGAAGCTAGGGTTTTGAAGCTCTTGGTATGTGGCCAAGAGAAACTGGTCCCTGGAGAAGGACATCATGCTTGGAAGGGTGAAGAGACAGTGCAGGAGAGGAAGATCCCAGATGAGATGGATTAATACAGTATTTGGGGCAATAGGGTTGGTGTGTCGGAATTAGTGAGTCTGGCTCAAAACAGGGCAGGGTTCAGAGCTGCTGTACATAGGGTCGCTATGGGTTGCAGACAACACAACGACACATAACAACAACATGTTTTTGAAAATTAAAAGGGCCAACTCCATCCATTCATCTGTTGATGGGCACTTGGATTATTTCCAACTCTTTGCTATTGTAATCAAAGCAACAATAAACATGGGGGTGCATATATCTGCTTGGGTGGCAGTTCTGGTTTCTTTAGGGTATATTCCCAGTAGTGGGATTCCTGGGTCAAATGGTATTTCTATTTCCTTCTTTTTGAGAAAGCGCCATAATGCCACTGTTATAAAACAGGACTGACATGGTGGTTGGGAGAAACTAAGAAAAGAGGGGATAAATAATAAATAATGTATGTGACATTGAAACAAACGAGGGACTGTATAAAAGGAATATATGATTATATATTATTGACATGACAAGAGTCCAGAGTAAGAGGTACGTAGTGAAGTGGACTTGAGACGACTGTATAACAATAAAAGAATTTTATTTTTTCCAAAGGAAAAAGTGAGCTGGGTAGGGAGGGAGGAAAATGTGCAATAATGAATGAATGGAAATCCAAGTTCTTTATAAACTGTCATTAAAATATCAATTAAAAAAAGGGGGGTGGGGGCCAAACTCACTCAGATTTCTTAAACTGAAGGAACAGAAGAACAAATTCAAGCCTTGAGTCGCAATTCTTAAGGATGGTTTGGACAGAAGAGTAAATGATCAAGGAAGCATTAAAAGAAGATGAAAGGAGTATACAGAGTCACTGTACCAAAAAGAATTTGACACAGAAGAATTTCATGAAATAATGTATGAACAAGAGCTTGTGGTGAAGAAGTTCAAGCTGCTCTGAAGAAAGTGGCAAAAATCAAGGCCCAAGGAATTGACGGCATACCAATTGACATATTTCAACAAATAGATGCTGCCCTGAATGCGCTCACCAAGTTGTGCCATGAAATCTGGAGGACAACCACTAGGCTAGCTGACTGGAAGAGATTCATATTTATTTCAGTTTCAAAGAAATATGACCCAACAGAGTGTGGAAATGATAGAACAATATCATTAATATCACGTGCAAGCAAGATTCTGCTGAAAATGATCCAAAAAATGACTTAAATAGGACATCAGCAGAGAACTGCCAGAAGTGCAGGCTGGGTTTAGAAGAAGCCAAGGTACGAGCTATATTATAACTAATGTTAGAGAGTATCAGCAGAATGTCTATCTGTGTTTCATTGACTATGCAAAGGCATTTGACTGTGTGGATCATGTGGATTATGGCTAATTGTGAAAAGAATGAGAATCCCAGAACACTTGATGGTGCTTATTTGAAACCTATACCTTTTTTTTTTTACACAGGAGGAAAATAATTTATTATATATGAGACAAATGATTTAAACATATGTAATAGACCTCTGATCAAATTATTTAAATTGATATAGCTTTAGTTTTTAAATACACTTTATAAAGCTGTTAC